ACAAATTTGGCCCATCCGGTCAGTTATCCAGGTATAAGGCCTGATGGTTGTCCGTGGTTTCAATCAGCGTTTTAGCGTCGACTACGGCAAAACTTTTAGCCGTATCATCAAGCCTGCCACTATCCGAGTCGTCCTTAGCCTTGCGTTGTCTCGGGGATGGCCCATTCATCAGCTGGATGTCAAGAATGCCTTCCTCCATGGCCAGCTTCAGGAAACCGTGTATGCCAGCCAGCCTTCAGGATTCCAGGATGCCAGTTGCCCTCACCATGTCTGCAAGCTAAAGAAAGCCCTCTATGGCCTAAAACAGGCGCCCCGTTCGTGGTATCACAAGTTTGCAGGGTTCATTCAGACCATTGGATTCCATGGTTGCAAATCTGAAACATCTCTCTTCGTCTTCTCTCATGCCACGGGCAGCGCCTACCTCCTCCTATATGTTGATGACATAGTTCTCATTGCTTCCTCGCCTGCGCTTCTTTAGAGCCTTATTCAAAAACTCAAAGCTGAGTTTGCCATGACAGACATGGGTGATCTACGCTTCTTCCTCGGCATCAATGTTCATCGCACAGCTATAGGTCTCTTCATTCATCAGACACAGTTTACCCACGATAAACTTGAGCGGGCCAGGATGGTGTCTTGCCGCCCCATTTCTACTCCAATGGACGCGAAGGCAAAGCTCTCCTCGTCTTCTGGCACGGCACTTCGAGATCCCTCCCTTTACAGGTCCATCATTGGCGCTTGCAGTATCTCACATTCACTCGACCTGATATTACTTATGTCGTTCAGCAGCTCTACCTCCACCTCCATGCACCTCGTGACGCTCATCTCACGGCCATGAAGAGAGTTCTCCGTTACCTTATTGGCACCGCCGCCCACGACATCTATTTGACCTGATCCACAACATATTATCTCCAGGCTTATTCTGATGCTGATTGGGCTGGATGTCCCGACACCAGACGTTTTACTTCCGGGTACTGTGTCTTTCTGGGCGATGACCTGATTTCATGGTCTTCGAAACGCCAGGCCACCACCTCACGCTCCAGTGCAGAGGCAGAATATCGGGCTGTGGCTAATGTAGTTGCTCAGACATCTTGGATCCAAAATCTTCTTGAGCTCCAGCAACCACTACGGTGAGCCACTCTCGTATTTTGCGACAATGTCAGCGCCGTCTACCTCTCATCGAATCCAGTTTAGCATCAGCGCACCAAGCACGTTAAGGTCAACATACACTTTGTGTGTGACAAAGTCGCACTCGGCCACATCAGAGTCCTTCACTTGCCCTCTTCTTCTCAGTATGCTGATATTTTCACCAAAGGACTGCCTTCACTACTCTTCATCGAGTTCAAGTTCAGTCTGGGTATCAGACCCCCTCCACATCCAACGTAGCCGGAACATGTTAAATATATATTTTATATTTGATGTATATATATTGTTTCCTATTATAGTCTCCTACCTTGTATAGGATTAGAAATACTTGTATATATAAAGACATGTACTCCCACAAAATTAATCAAGGAAATTAAACTTTCTACAGTCTTTTTTTAACTTCGTATTTATTTCTTCTTTCTGTTCTTCATTTTTAGAGTCCTTTAAAAATTATTTTACTTTTAAAAAACAAATAAGTTAGAATTTTTTTATTAGAGATAGAGTGAGTATATGTTATTTAATTTTTTATTTTATTTATTTTACTTTTACTTATAATGAAAAAGTGTGTTCTATTTCATTTTTAAATTTTTAATTTTTTTGTAGCATTTTCTTAAAAAATTATATTTTTGAAAATTAAAAAAATGAAAAATTTTAATTTGAGAGAGAGGGTGTATACGTAGTATTTTATTTTATTTAATTGTATAACAAAAAATGCAAATAAAAGAGTGAAACTTGAAGATAGAGAAAAACAAAAGACAAAAATGTCATTTTATGTCTAGAAATAAGTAAGAGGGAATGTTTGTGCACTATTTAAAAACCACAGAGACTTTACAAATAACTTTTGAAAGTAGAGGGAGTTTTGGTGCTCCTTTTATAAATCACGGGGCACCCATGCTATTACCTCTACTTAGGAGTTTGGACTAATAAATAACGAAAAAGAAAGAAATTTGTTTAATTTCTTCTTATTCAGTGCTCTGTACCAACTGCATCTGGTCAAGTCAAGCACCGCTCGAGCTCTCATTCCTAATGAGTTCAGATTAGTTGAGGCTTTTGGGTACTAAACCAATACTCCATATATTAATTTTTCTTTTTGTGTGTGAGTGTGTACAATTTACAGTGTGAAAATTTAAAACCTGTTTTTTTTTTTCGTTTTCCTTTTATGAGCAGATATACTCTAGGTGGATTCTTCCTTGCTAGTTATGATGACAGTCCTGTTGGAACTTTCGACGAGGTTCTTTTGTCTTTAGTTTATTTTTTTAGAAATCATCCTAAATAGGACTAAAACATAGAGAAAAGTACCAAAATAGGACTTTCATGTTTTTTTCCCGGAATAGGACTTTGCACTGTGGTAATGTGACTTTGCATTGTGTTAATGTGGTAGTGTACATGTGCAAATTACTATACTTTTTTGGTAATGTATATGACCATGTTTGGTAATGTAAGTCCTATTTCGGGAATAAAAACATGGAAGTCCTATTTTGGTATATTTTCAATGTTTTAGTCCTAGTTTGGTCTTTCTTTTTTCAAGCATACTAGGGGTACACCAAGAAGTGTACGCCAAAAAGATTAACTAATATTTTAATTATTCATACTGTCACAAAATATTAGTTCAATCAAAAAAAATTGCACTGACATTTTGTGTCATTGTAAAATAGCACACTAGCACAAAATGTTGGTGCATTCCTTCGGGGTAGAAAATGAAGAGCAATTTTTGGTGTACAAATGTGATTTCTCTCATTTTGTCCGGTACTATATATAGCCTATTGAAAATTTAAACAAGAAATGCAAGGTAAGGCTTGACTACATCGCATGCCATAGGGGTGGATATGGTCCTAGTTCGAGTTCAGAACAAGAACTTTGGGTTAGGGAAACAGCCCAAACCGTGAGAAAAGATTTCGGTTACAGTTTTTAATTTTAGCCACCAGAACCGCTCGAAACCAGTTTACTTTTTAATCTTTATTAGTTTATTTATTATTTTCAATTGGTTTAAAGTTTATTCACAATATTTTGCAACAAAATAGTATGGAGTAAATATTTATGTAACACTTTCCCAAAAAAACAAAAAAGAAAACTTGAAATCGGTTGAATCACTCGGGATGATTCTGGTTACAGTTTTGCCCTTCCGGAAATTGGTTATAATTCTGCCTTTCCAAGAGCCGCAATTGCCAGTTCCAAAACTATGATCGAACTGTACCATCTCTGGTACGAAATCAGATCTTGTAGGGAATACTTCGAGTGTCTTAGAGCTCCTGAAATTGAGACGAGAGTAGAAGAAGGATTGAGACGAGTAGGGAATCGGCAAACGTAGAGAGGAGAATGGAATTAGGGTTAACAATTTGTTTATGAATTGATATTCCTAAGGGTTAATATCACTATTTTTAAGGGTTAATAATAGTAATACTAAATAAATATTTCTTCCGTCCTTCAAAACCTTTTTCCTTTCTTTTCTCATCTTTCCCAAAAAAAAATTTTCTCATTTCTATGAAAGAGTCACTTTTGCCTCTACTAATTCTTAACCTACCTATCACATCACATTTATTCACTATTAATTTAACCATCAAATCCTACTTTTACCTATCACATTCAAGGATATTTTTGGAAACTTAAAACAAAAATACACTCCTCTTAAATCCCTTAAAAATCAAAATCTCCCATATTTTTAGGGACGGAGGGAGTAATAACTAATAAATATATATCTAAATATCCTACTCTACCACCCATTACACTCTCACCCCTTTAAAAAAATTACATTATCCTCAAGGTAGAGGTTCCCACTAATTATTTTGGATACGGGTCGGAAGGGCAAACATTTCAAGACGTCCACCATTTTCTATTAGAAAATCTTGGTGCTACAACTTGATGGCATCAACAAGACCAAACATCTTGATTGCGAGAGACACTACTAAAGCAAAGTGAAATTTGCAGTAAATAGGACTAAAACATAATGACTTTCCTAATGTAGGACTTAAACTTTTTTATTCTCTAAATAGGACTTAATAATGACCTAGTAGGAGGAATAATGTCCAGTAATGTTAGACATTTACTTAAATAATGACTACTTGATAATGACCAAAAGTCCTACATTGGGAAATAAAAACATATGATCTTATATTGGGAAAGTCATTATGTTTTAGTCCTATCTAGATAAATTTCTCCAAAGTAAAAGGTTGATAGCTATCCATTACAATGTCATCGCTCCAAGCCTTGTCATTTGCCATGTCCGCAATACTTGTTGCACTTAGCGGTGCATAATAATCATTAGATGGAATGTCTGGCATGTAGGTTGACTCCCCTTCTCCAGCTCAAGCATCGTCACCTTCATGCATGGCGTCAACCCCACTATCCACGTCATCATCCATTTGAGACTCAGCGCTTAGTCCCTTTGATCCAACAACGCCCTCTACAATAAGAGCAAGGTGTACAACTGTTTCTTCTATTTGGATAATCGTGTCTCCAGCTGTAGTTGACAGACTTGGTGTAGAAAGTGGAGCACCGATGAGATTTTATTGCGTCCATCGTGTTGGATCTAAAATATTTTAACTCCAAATGAATCCGACTCGGCATAATTGGTGGACCACGAACCAAATCTTGGACTACGCAAGATATTTTTACGTCGAACACATATACATCAGAATTAGAATATCGTAGGTTTAAAACATGATGAAACAAGTGGAGATTTTTCAATTTCATCCATGTAATCATAAGCTACACATACTCCTACTATACGTGAAAATCAATTTTTTCATAACAGATATTGTTCAACAATCTAAGAAGTTTATCCAAAGAAATGTCCATCGTCACAATAATTTTATCCAAAACGTAGCCATAACATATATTCTTCAACAATCATTAGTTTTTGGCTACTACGCGACAAGTGGAGTTATGGCTCAAAATCTCAAAATGCAAGACCTCAAAATGGAATTCACGCAAAAAGAGGTAAACTCATGGGAACTAATAATCTCTTGCCAGCAATTCAAGATAACATAACTCAAAGTGTTATTACCGTAGGAATCTTTTGCTGCAATCCCGAGCCACAATTTGGATGGCTGGTAATTACTCTGCAACACATAACAACACGTGGGTTTTAGCTGCTGTGAATGGCAAAAAAACACCACAAACCGGTGGTCGAAGTGGTGGAATAATCAGCGTCTCCAACGTTTTGGAATGATGGAGATCCCATAGAGACGCTGACAATCAATATGGATGCTGCTGGGTCCAATTCTCAGGTCTGCACTATTTGGTTGCAAATTTCTGTCTGTTTGGATTGCACGGTGGTTGCGGAGATTCTGCCTTGCAGTATTACGCTATCAAAGCAATTTTAGAATTGCAGATTCAGTTGATTGCCGGAAGTGTTGGAATTTTATTATAAGGAGGATGAACATTGCGAAGCAACATTGAAGACTTTATGAATGAAGAACAAGAATTACGACATGATAGTTTAACAAAAATGAATAAATGGTTTCCCATCAAAGTTATTTTGGAGTATACCAAAATACTTCAATCGGATAAGATGTTAATCAAGAACAAGCACTTCGAATTCGTATGTTTAAACCGTACCTGCGAGTCTCTATTTATAAAGACGAAAGTCCTTGAACAGACATGAACATTCGCATAAGGATGCAAATTTTTGTGCCAAATAGATAGAATTAAAACTCTCATGAACGTTTGCTTAAGGAGGAAAATGTTCGTGCGAATAGCTTATTGCGGTTTAGGGCTAGTCTTGACATTTATCGCACGTCTAAATCTTACAACGTTTTGGACTCTGTGAAAATCTAAAAGACCCAATTAGATAGGGACTCTGTCCCTCAAATTTTGCCAGGGGTTGCCGCCCCTTGGGGCCAGGTACCAGGGCTGCCACCCCCGCACCCCACTATAAATTTGTGATATCATTGAACGAGTATGCACTCTGCATCTCCTAACTTGATTGATAATGTCTATTCATTCTTGTTTGATCTAAATAATTCGAATTATACAAAATAGCCGATGACAAACGTGTGTTCTATTTATTCTCCAATCTTGTCGCGCATCAATGCACCAAACGTGTTGAGGTTGACATCCACTTTGTTCGTGACAAAGTTTCTCTTGGACAAGTCAATGTGCTTCATGTTCCTTTCTCATCTTATTATGCAGATATATTCACGAAAGGACTCCCATCTCTACTGTTCATAGACTTTAGAGATAATCTTGGTATTCGACCTCCCCCGCACCTGACGTAGCCAGGAGCATGTTAAATATATTGTATATATTTAATATGGTTATTATATTCTTGGTAGTTACCTTTTGTATAGGTTTCTTTTTATATTACCTTACAACTATTGGGATTAGTGATCCTATTATATGTTGATGTAATTAACAATCGTTCAATCAAGAAAATTGATCATTCTTCAACAAAAAGTGTACCTCAAATTCTCTCCCCCACACAATTCAAGTATAAAAAATTTAATAAGTGATAATGAATGTATGAAGAAAATATATGGTATACGAATGGGGTACACCAGAATGGGATACACCATTTGGTGTACTCCTAGCAGGATGTAGTTTTTTTAAAGTATGCTTAACACTTATTGCTTTTGTTTTTTTAAATGTCAAATTCGCCAGCTTGTGGTGATCGCTGGAATTGTGTGGAACCCTCCTATATCTTGTGCGTATGTCTTCAAGCCATTGACACTATGAGGTCTAATTTAATACTATTTCACTGCTTTATATTTTTACAATCAATTTTGATTAACTTTGAGTGTTTCTCTCAAACGAAGAAGTATGATCAACTATGTATTTCAGATTTGATCTGATTCTAATAAGGTCTGATCTAGTTTCAATAAGAATAAGTAATACGAAATATTGTCTCTGTCCCTAAATCTCTTCTTTACTTTGACTTTTATATACTCTGTAATTTATAATTGAAATATTTTTGTGTTGAATTTCCAAATATCTCATATTGATGTGATAAGTAAAAGTAAGATGTGATAGATGAATTATTAATAAATAAATATGGTATAATATATAGGATAAAAATTAGTAGAAGTAAAAGATACTCCCTCCGTCCCAAAAAGATTTACACGTTTCAAAAAATTGCGTCTCATAATCCCTTACCCATTTCTATTAAAAAACCACTTTTACCCTTTACTTTTTCAAACCCTAACTATCACATCATACATTTTTCCTAATAATCTACACATCACATCCTACTTTTACCCATCACATCAAGGGTATTTTTGGAAAGTCAACACAAAATTATCCCTCCCTTAATTTCAACTTTAGTCAAAATGGGTAACACTTTATGGGACGGAGGGAGTATTTTTTAATAGAAAGAGGAAAAGATATTTTTGGAGAAAGAAAAAAAGGCTTTTTAGAGAGGAGGAAGTATATACTTGTGGGTTGTGACGAACTTGTGAATAATAAATCTCACAGATGGGCTGCTAGAGTGCTGGTAAACAACAATGAGGCCTGGATGCACGGACGAAAGGTAGGATTTCTATATATTAGTTAATTTCCCACACAAAACAAAAAGTGTGGAACAAAGTTATTAGGGATAGGTTCTTTTGACCCTCGAACCAAGTGTCATATTTTAACACGGACACCTATAGTGTTCTGCTGGTAAATTGATGGTTACTAACCGCTTACCTCTCCAAACCTCCTCCCCCTGCCTCCTGCCCCTCCCCCTAAATCGCCAATTTGGCAGGCCAAATCGATGATTTAGGTGGGGAGGGGGGGCTGGCAGGATAATGTGGTAGAGACTATCAATTTTACCAACGGAATACCGTAGATACATGTGTCAAAATATGACCATCGGCTTGAGGGTCAAAAGAACCATTGTGAAGTTATTGAAGAAATTTAACAATTGATGTTGTGAAATGACTAAAATGTAGGAGTTTGGACTTCCAAGCCAAGTAGCCAAGTTTTCAAAGGTTCTCTCATGCTTATATATACTCTTGCAGCTTATTTAGCCTCTAATTGATTTGGTTTAGAGAAGTAGAGAATGTAAAAAATGGGTGAGAATTAGGGGTGGGTGAAAATCCCGAAACTGTTGTCCCGACCTGAAATTTATTTATATAATGATATAACACAAAAAAGTATCCCAATTTTTAATTTTCCCAATATAGATATAAAAGATATCCATATTCAAATATTCTAAAAAATTTGACTAGGACAAAAACACCTAAAAATCCATACCGTTCTAACCCGACCCACCCCAATTTGTGGCTCATAGCTTTTATGAAGTTTATAGTCATTACTTTTGACGTATGTTGTAATATTTTTCATATTTCCTTATTTGTTTTGCTTTTTTAAGTCATTCTAAATAAATATATCATTTTTTTCATTACTTTTCAAGTCAAAGTTGGTTGCCTCCCTCTTATGTATTTATATTTATATATCTAATTTTAGATTATGACAAAGCAAGACAACTCAAACCTGTTCCTTTTTATCCAGATCCCAAATATTAAAAAGACAAAGAGGGATAAGTTTGTGGCCTGAATCGTTCCAAACTGTTTGGAAAAAACGGGACAAAACGTGGAAAACAAACTATGTAAAACAAGCAGTGACTTGATTGTGTTACTTTAACAAATGATTAATATAGACAGAAACTTCCAAATTTCACCCAAACAAGAAAAGTCTTAATGACCGCTGTAAATGAGGCATATGAATGCTTAAGCTATATGTTTATCCCAACTCTAGTTTCTGTGAGATTTTATTAAGTTTTTTACATTGTTTTTTTGAAAACTATATGTTAAGTAGAGAATGGAGCCAATTTCAAGGACTTTGAATAAACTCAATGACTTCTTGAGCATGACTGGGATGAGTTCATTTTCTTCCGCTCCTGGTGATTTATTAGCCATAAAAGTCACTGAAATCAAGGGTCAACGAATGATCGATCTATGCAACATCAACATACACAATCCAGGTAACTATATTTCAAACGTTTTACCTGTAACGCTATTATGAGCAATGTTTCCCCTTAATTTTCATTTGATAATTACAGTCCACCATGACCTACACGCGAAGGATGAATGGATGGGCCCTCTCATCAAAATGTCACTCCCTAGTTTTAGGTGATATTTGAGATTTTTGTCATTAGCTTATTGTTTCTTTTTGTTTGTACTTGTGAGCTCTTAAAGCTAAGATTGTTTTCATGGTCTGATATTTGCAGTGGTCGTACCAAACATAACCCTAATCTCCTCAAATACTCTTGCCAAATTGAGTGCAGGTTCACGCGAACTTTCTTATTCTCACCCTGTGGGCTGATTTGTCCAAAACTTATTTGTGTTGGTTAACAAACGATTTAGCTCGCGATTTATTTGCAGGGTGAGAAAAGTGGCACCTGCAAAAATTTCAGACCCGTCTGGTGAAAACGAAGAAGCTAGTCCAAATGGACAAAGAAATCTCAGCCTGCATGTGTTGCTCTCAAAACCACTCTTGGCTTTACACTTTAGTGGTCTTAAAATGAGAGTTGAAGCTCCCAGTGTTGTTTCTTTGTGCTCTAACAATTCCTTAGAAAATCATTGATGATATAAACGAATGACCAATAATAGGGTAAGTTTGGTATAAATAGTATACACAATGAGGCATTAGATTAAGTGTATCCCCACATGCATCTACTTTGAGTTACTGAGAAATTCACGTTTGGTTAGTAAGCATTATATTAACACAATGACATGAATTTGTTAGTACAATAATAGGTATAATCTTCAATTATTGTCATGTTTTGCGCGTCTTATCTTTCTATTAGTGACAACAAAGTAAGGATATTGAATTATTCTCTAAGTATTCCAACATTATAAATAATGTAGTACTACGTACATTCAAGGGTAGCATATTAGTGAATATTAGAGATATTCCTTGACTCTAATGTCTTTCTTAGTGAGATTTATATACTAAAGAGAGTGTTTTGTATATTGTCTTGAAATACTGGAAATATAAATTTTCTCCCAAAATATTCATTTGTTTTTTCTCTCATTTTCTATCGTTCTTAATACTTTTTGGAGTCTAACGAGCTTAAAATCTCAATAAAAATTTTTTATTTTTGTTTCTGTAATTCATTTTTATCATTTTGTCTTCTCAAATTATTATCTAACAAGTTTAGTCTTATCTTTCGCTTTTTTAAATATTTTTAAAATAAGTATAACTTTAAATTCATAGTTCAGATCCTTTCATTGGATATACTATTGGATTTCTCTCATCAAAACTATCCAATGGATATAATTTTGTCTTTAAAATATATACCTCAAGATTCTCTAATTTTTATCTAAAACATTATTCACATTTAATTATAAATTTATAAGTATTAATTATTTTAATCACTATTTAAATTGCCACATATTTAACACACAAGTTAAGTTGGGAGATTCACTTAAAATCTTTGGAAAATAATTTTCTTGTGATTTTTCTAGTAAATGGCAAGGTTTCCTTTACAATGACAACCAATGTCATGTTATCACATTGGGCCCTTTCGATATTTGGTTCTATAATTGATGGTTCTTATTCCTTAACTCTTCAAAATGCCGCAATCTAAAAAGGTAAAATCATCAATAATTTTAGCAATCGTGCAACATAAGTACTTGATGTCATAGCATGACATTAGTTCTCAGTGTTGAACCAATGTCAAGGGGTGATTAATAAAATAAGATAAAAAATACTACGATGACAACTAAGTGGTGACAATATTTTGATACCATGTGTCACACATGACACACACAAAGAATAAGTGTGTGTGTATCAGCACGCATTGTCTCTATATCTCTGCGACCCATATCAAAGTGGTGTGAGTGTCATTACTTTAGTGTCCCTAACACAACTCAAATGAGCTAGATGTAACTCGTAGAAATACATAAAAGTGTTGTGCTGGGGTAATCCTAAAATTTTGGGTTACCATGAATTCATGCTTTGCAAAGACGCGCAAATAATAATTACTAAGTAAATTTTATAATTGATCTTTTATAACATAGTTTTTTCCATATTTCATTCTCTATTATGAAATATCACGTTCATGGTCCTTGTTTTATGAATACCATTTTACGAATAATTATTTTTTGACATTCTGTCATGTTGGTGTTAAATTGAGGACTAAAAGTATATATAATTTCACAATGACCAAATACCTTTATTGTCAAAACCAATACGAGAGGTCATTGCTGATGTGTTTTTTGTTAACTGAAGTTGACATCTATTACAACCATAGTCTATAAAAATCCTCTCTGTTCGAAATCCTAATCCACAGTCGTAGTCATTATTGTTGTGTTCTATATCAAGCTCACATCAGAATACGTTACTAGACATAGAGTTAATGTGAAATTATATTTTAAGTTCTTGATTTAACACCAACATGATAAAAAGTCAAAAAAAAGATTAGTCATTGAAAGATATCCATAAAAAAAGACTACGATATATCATTTAATAATAGAAGACTAAACCCTATTACTCTAACATTATGTTTGGTTCAAGAAATTTGGAAGGAAAAGAATAGAAAATGAGTTTCTCTCATTTTTCTCACTAAAATGAGAGGAGTTTGGTTTTTCCTCATTTGTCTTATCATTTTCTTTTCTTTCTCTTTAACCAAACAATAAAATTGTTTTCAATCTAATTTTCTTTTCTTTTCCCTTTTAAATTCCTTGAATTAAACATAGTATAAAACATCAATTATAGAATTTATTTCTCTCTCTCTTTTTGTAAATTAAATGAGTAAGTTCACAAAATGGTCCATTGTAATAAGATACTAGCATTTTGACCCGTGCCATGCACGAGATGGAACAATTTTTTTGTTATTTTTCATCGCGACAAAAATTTTCAAATATCAAACAACATAAAACCTATAGAAGTCGCTAATGAAAATTCTACTATATACAATTGAAAATTAATATTTCAAAGTCCTAATTTAAATTAGAATATTTTGAAAAATGTTGAGGTATACAATATTTTTTTGTGAACTTATAAAGATTACAAAAGACATCTAAAACTAATAATTTCAACTTTATTTTTACTCTCACTTGTGAAATAATTATATAAATTTAACAATAAGTGAATATCAATTTGGTAAAAACAATATTATTAATGCCAATGTTTGACATTAACTTTTTTAATAACGATAAGTTTTAACGAAACATAAGCTACTGAAAATTATATTCTTTGAAACTTCAAGAGTAATCCTATATGAAATGATATATGGAATATAATTCGCTAGTATTATTACCCGTGCCACGCATGGGTTGGATTTTCTGCACAATTTTTCTTACTTTTTTTATTATCCTAAATCTTCATTGTCACAAATCTTCTCACACTCCCCTCCACATCTTGATCTTCTTTGTCACAATCTTCTTTGCATAAATCTGTGTCGTCTCATAAAATATCATCCTATGAAGTTTCCATGTACGATTGCGTAGATGAAAACGTAGAAAGTAAGTCCTTTCCTCATTTAAAATTTCCTAAATTTATGTATAAAAATTTTGAATTGTAACACAATATAATTAGTATGTACTGTGTAAATCGTAATTTACAATATAAGATTATTTTGATTAAAATAGTAAATCAAGTAACCAACATAAAGTATAAAAGTCTTATTAAATCTTTTTTCAAATTTGTTTATTTTAAATATTCAATATTTTAAAAATCATCAAATTGTTTGGAAATACTTTTATTTATTATCATAATCAGTCATCTTACCATAAACGAAAGTTCTAAGTAAGATATGCATTGAGTCATAGTATATATATTATCCATTTGTATAAAAATAAAGTACATAATCATGACACTTATAATTCTCTTAGAAAATATAGTCTTAAGTCTTTTAGTTATCTAATTATAAATTATAAACTTCTTTGAGTAATCTCAAAATAGTATTTAATTATCTATGTAGAACTTTTTAGTTGAGATTCTTTCACTCAGTGTCCCTCGTATATGTTTGTTAAATGAATGTTCAGTGGAGAAAATTTAAGTATTTTCAACATTTAAATATAGAGTAATTTTTTCAAAATAACCCTTTCGGATTAACCTTTTTCCAATTAAGGTCTCCGTTATAATAGTTATAATTTTAATCCAATTGTGGATTTAGGGGCACCTTAATATTTTGTATCCCTCTATTAGCCACTCATGTTCATGCTAGTAAATTTCGAATGAAGATGACCTCTCCTTCGATCCACCACTTCATATCTATGTAGAATTTTAATAAAATTCACATATGAAAAATACGTGATTCGTTATTTTTGCAAATACTGTTTTGTTGTATATATATATCTTATGCGAATAGTTTTTTGTATTTTTTTTAAAAAGTAGAAGTTGTGACTTCAATGAAGTCAAAAGTGATATACCTATGATTATTTTAAAATGTTTTTGTGATTTTACATTATGAAAACCCTTGCAACTATATTTGTTTTGCTGTTTAAAAATAAATTCATATCAAGTGAAAAAGTTTTTGGATGTAAAATACATGTGATTATTTTAACGTGATAATTTTTTAATTTTTTTGTGAAAAATGTAACTATTATTTTAGAAAATGATTTTAAAAATTTATACAATTATTTTAATTATTTTAGAAGTTTATTTTATAAAATTTTTAATCAAAAAATGAATTTTAGTTCTCACTCAATTGCATAAAATTTCATGTAGGTTCTAATTTCTTCAATAATACTCCCCCTGTGTTTGGATTTGATCTTCTCAATTAACTTTTGTTATCAGTTTTATATACTTTAACCTCGATATATAGAACAAACATTATCTTTTGATAGAAATGCATTACCAATAATTTCCTTTAATTTTGAAACTAAGGAATCTCTAAATATTTGGTAGCTCCTATTTTGGAGATAAAAAAATATGCATTTTTATTTTGGTATTTTCTCCATGCTTATTCCTATTTTGGCACAGAGCATTTTTCCAAAAAATTATAGTGACACTGAACATAAGACATATACTTTGTATACAACTTAAATTGGATATACCCATATTTTGATTAAAATTACCACGTTATTCAATCGTTAATAAATGACAGGTGATTTGTTATATTTCTTTATAAAAATACTCTCATTTAAAAACAAAATTTTTATCATTTACAAACAGTGTTTATATCAAAAATAAATACTTTTAAAGACTATCAATACCGTAATATGAATAAATATAATATCTCAAACAAAATTTAAATCTTAATAGATTTTTTATACTCCCTATTACATATTTAAGGAAATTTTAATTATTAAAAAAGTTATTGAATACATTAAACCACAAAGCTTTCATATTAAAAATTATCTAATATACATAAACCCATAATGCACTAAATTTCTTTAATAAATTTCTCATCTTTAATTAGTGGTATAAGATAAGCTACTCCAAAGTATATTTTAGTTCAATAAATTTTCATACAAAGGAATAAATTAATAATTTTAAAAAAAATATATTTCACTCAAAAGACTTTTAATATTATTTTTGTTTTTATGAAAAACACTCGAGCTAATCATGATTAGTTTCTTTTTTATGATTAATTTATTTAATTTTTGTTGAAAAATTACATTTATTTCATTTACATAATTTTCAATAAATTCAAAAGTCCATAATTATCTAA